CTAGAGGGTAAGGGGTTGCTAGAGGGTAGGGGGGTGTTAAAGGGTAGGGGGTTGCTAGAGGGTAGGGGGTTTTAAAGGATAGGGGTTGCTAGAGGGTAGGGGATTGCTAGAGGGTAGGGGGGTTTTAAAGGGTAGCGGGTTGCTAGAGGGTAGGGGATTGCTAGAGGGTAGGGGGGTTTTAAAGGGTAGGGGGTTGCTAGAGGGTAGGGGGTTGCTAGAGGGTAGGGGATTGCTAGAGGGTAGGGGGTTGCTAGAGGGTAGGGGGTTGCTAGAGGGTGGGGGGTTGCTAGAGGGTAGGGGTTGCTAGAGGGTAGGGGGTTGCTAAAGGGTGGGGGGTTGCTAGAGGGTAGGGGTTGCTAGAGGGTAGGGGGTTGCTAGAGGGTGGGGGGTTGCTAGAGTGTAGGGGGTTGCTAGAGGGTGGGGGGTTGCTAGAGGGTAGGGGGTTGCTAGAGGGTAGGGGGTTGCTAGAGGGTAGGGGGTTGCTAGAGGGTAGGGGTTGCTAGAGGTAGGGGGTTGCTAGAGGGTAGGGGGTTGCTAGAGGGTAGGGGGTTGCTAGAGGGTAGGGGGTTGCTAGAGGGTAGGGGGTTGCTAGAGGGTGGGGGGTTGCTAGAGTGTAGGGGGTTGCTAGAGTGTAGGGGGTTGCTAGAGGGTAGGGGGTTGCTAGAGGGTAGGGGGTTGCTAGAGGGTGGGGGGTTGCTAGAGTGTAGGGGGTTGCTAGAGGGTGGGGGTTGCTAGAGGGTAGGGGGTTGCTAGAGGGTAGGGGGTTGCTAGAGGGTAGGGGTTGCTAGAGGGTAGGGGGGTTGCTAGAGGGTAGGGGGTTGCTAGAGGGTAGGGGGTTGCTAGAGGGTAGGGGGTTGCTATGAGGGTAGGGGGTTGCTAGAGGGTAGGGGGTTGCTAGAGGGTGGGGGGTTGCTAGAGTGTAGGGGGTTGCTAGAGTGTAGGGGGTTGCTAGAGGGTAGGGGGTTGCTAGAGGGTAGGGGGTTGCTAGAGGGTAGGGGGTTGCTAGAGGGTAGGGGGTTGCTAGAGGGTAGGGGGTTGCTAGAGGGTGGGGGGTTGCTAGAGTGTAGGGGGTTGCTAGAGTGTAGGGTGTTGCTAGAGGGTAGGGGGTTGCTAGAGGGTAGGGGGTTGCTAGAGGGTAGGGGGTTGCTAGAGTGTGGGGGGTTGCTAGAGGTGTAGGGGGTTGCTAGAGTGTAGGGGGTTGCTAGAGGGTAGGGGGTTGCTAGAGGGTAGGGGGTTGCTAGAGTGTAGGGGGTTGCTAGAGGGTAGGGGGTTGCTAGAGGGTAGGGGGTTGCTAGAGGGTGGGGGGTTGCTAGAGTGTAGGGGGTTGCTAGAGTGTAGGGGGTTGCTAGAGGGTAGGGGTTGCTAGAGGGTAGGGGTTGCTAGAGGGTAGGGGGTTGCTAGAGTGTGGGGGGTTGCTAGAGTGTAGGGGGTTGCTAGAGTGTAGGGGTTGCTAGAGGGTAGGGGGTTGCTAGAGGGTAGGGGGTTGCTAGAGTGTAGGGGGTTGCTAGAGTGTAGGGGGTTGCTAGAGGGTAGGGGGTTGCTAGAGTGTAGGGGGTTGCTAGAGTGTAGGGGGTTGCTAGAGTGTAGGGGGTTGCTAGAGTGTAGGGGGTTGCTAGAGGGTAGGGGGTTGCTAGAGGGTGGGGGGTTGCTAGAGGTAGGGGGTTGCTAGAGGGTAGGGGGTTGCTAGAGGGTGGGGGGTTGCTAGAGTGTAGGGGGTTGCTAGAGTGTAGGGGTTGCTAGAGGTAGGGGGTTGCTAGAGGGTAGGGGGTTGCTAGAGGGTAGGGGGTTGCTAGAGTGTGGGGGGTTGCTAGAGTGTAGGGGGTTGCTAGAGTGTAGGGGGTTGCTAGAGGGTAGGGGGTTGCTAGAGGGTAGGGGGTTGCTAGAGTGTAGGGGGTTGCTAGAGTGTAGGGGGTTGCTAGAGGGTAGGGGGTTGCTAGAGTGTAGGGGGTTGCTAGAGTGTAGGGGGTTGCTAGAGTGTAGGGGGTTGCTAGAGTGTAGGGGGTTGCTAGAGGGTAGGGGGTTGCTAGAGGGTGGGGGGTTGCTAGAGGGTAGGGGGTTGCTAGAGGGTAGGGGGTTGCTAGAGGGTGGGGGGTTGCTAGAGGGTAGGGGTTGCTAGAGGGTAGGGGGTTGCTAGAGGGTGGGGGGTTGCCAGAGGGTAGGGGTTGCTAGAGGGTAGGGGGTTGCTAGAGGGTAGGGGTTGCTAGAGGGTAGGGGGTTGCTAGAGGGTGGGGGGTTGCTAGAGGGTAGGGGGTTGCTAGAGGGTAGGGGGTTGCTAGAGGGTAGGGGGTTGCTAGAGGGTAGGGGGTTGCTAGAGGGTGGGGGGTTGCTAGAGGGTAGGGGGGTTGCTAGAGGGTAGGGGGTTGCTAGAGGGTGGGGGGTTGCTAGAGGGTAGGGGGTTGCTAGAGGGTAGGGGGTTGCTAGAGGGTGGGGGTTGCCAGAGGGTAGGGGTTGCTAGAGGGTAGGGGGTTGCTAGAGGGTAGGGGGTTGCTAGAGGGTAGGGGGTTGCTAGAGGGTGGGGGGTTGCTAGAGGGTAGGGGGTTGCTAGAGGGTAGGGGGTTGCTAGAGGGTAGGGGGTTGCTAGAGGGTAGGGGGTTGCTAGAGGGTAGGGGGTTGCTAGAGGGTAGGGGGTTGCTAGAGGGTGGGGGGTTGCTAGAGGGTAGGGGGTTGCTAGAGGGTAGGGGGTTGCTAGAGGGTAGGGGGTTGCTAGAGGGTGGGGGGTTGCTAGAGGGTAGGGGGTTGCTAGAGTGTAGGGGGTTGCTAGAGGGTAGGGGGTTGCTAGAGGGTAGGGGTTGCTAGAGGGTGGGGGGTTGCTAGAGTGTAGGGGGTTGCTAGAGGGTAGGGGGTTGCTAGAGGGTAGGGGGTTGCTAGAGGGTGGGGGGTTGCTAGAGGGTGAGGAAGTATAGTAGGAGATGTAAACATGTGGAGCACATTCTACCTACCTGGAGTCTACCTTGAGGATGTTTTGGGAGTCAACGCCCCCACAGCCTGGTCTGTGACCAGGTCTTGTGGTGGATCAGGACCTGATCAACCAGGCTGTTACTTCTGGCCGCACGTAAACCGACGTACGAACCACAGCCCGGCTGGTCAGGTACTGACTTTAGATGTCTGTCAAGCGCCTTCTTGAAGACAACCAGGGGTCTTGAAGAAGCCTGGGGTCTTGAAGAAGCCTGGGGTCTTGAAGACAGCCAGGGGTCTTGAAGACAGCCAAGGGTCTTGAAGACAGCCAAGGGTCTTGAAGACAGCCAGGGGTCTTGGAGACAGCCAGGGGTCTTGAAGACAGCCATGGGTCTTGAAGACAGCCAGGGGTCTTGGAGACAGCCAGGGGTCTTGAAGACAGCCAGGGGTCTTGGAGACAGCCAGGGGTCTTGAAGACAGCCAGGGTCTTGAAGACGCCAGGGTCTTGAAGACAGCCAGGGGTCTTGGAGACAGCCATGGGTCTTGAAGACAGCCAGGGGTCTTGGAGACAGCCAGAGGTCTTGAAGACAGCCAGGGGTCTTGAAGACAGCCAGGGTCTTGAAGACAGCCAGGGTCTTGAAGACAGCCAGGGTCTTGAAGACGAGGGTCCAGGGGTCTTGAAGACAGCCAGGGGTCTTGAAGACAGCCAGGGGTCTTGAAGACAGCCAGGGCTTGAAGACAGCCAGGTGGTCTTGAAGACAGCCAGGGGTCTTGAAGACAGCCAGGGGTCTTGGAGACAGCCAGGGGTCTTGAAGACAGCCAGGGTCTTGAAGACAGCCAGGGGTCTTGAAGACAGCCAGGGGTCTTGAAGACAGCCAGGAGCCCTTGAAGACAGCCAGGGTCTTGAAGACAGCCAGGGGTCTTGAAGACAGCCAGGGGTCTTGAAGACAGCCAGGGGTCTTGGAGACAGCCGGGGGTCTTGGAGACAGCCAGGGTCCTTGAAGACACCATGGGTCTTGAAGACAGCCAGGGGCCCTTGAAGACAGCCAAGGGTCTTGAAGACAGCCAGGGGTCCTTGGAGACACCCCAGGGTCTTGAAGACAGCCATGGGTCTTAAAAGACAGCCAGGGGTCCTTGAGACAGCCAGGGGTCTTGAAGACAGCCAGGGGCCCTTGGAGACAGCCAGGGGTCTTGAAGACAGCAGGGGTCTTGAAACAGCCAGGGGTCTTGAAGACAGCCAGGGGTCTTGGAGACAGCCATGGTCTTGAAGACAGCCAGGGGTCTTGGAGACAGCCAGAGGTCTTGAAGACAGCCAGGGTCTTGAAGACAGCCAGGGGTCTTGAAGACAGCCAGAGTCTTAAAGACAGCCAGGGGTCTTGAAGACAGCCGGGGGTCTTGAAGACAGCCAGGGGTCTTGAAGACAGCCAGGGTCTTGAAGACAGCCAGGAGTCTTGAAGACAGCCAGGGTCTTGAAGACAGCCAGGGGTCGTTGAAGACAGCCAGGGGTCTTGGAGACAGCCAGGGTCTTGAAGACAGCCAGGGTCTTGAAGACAGCCGGGGGTCTTGAAGACAGCCAGGGGTCTTGAAGACAGCCAGGAGTCTTGAAGACAGCCAGGGGTCTTGAAGACAGCCAGGGTCTTGAAGACAGCCAGGGTCTTGAAGACAGCCAGGGTCTTGGAGACAGCCAGGGGTCTTGAAGACAGCCAGGGGTCTTGAAGACAGCCAGGAGTCTTGAAGACAGCCAGGGGTCTTGAAGACAGCCAGGGGTCTTGAAGACAGCCAGGGGCCCTTGAAGACAGCCAGGGGTCCTTGAAGACAGCCAGGGGTCTTGAAGACAGCCAGGGGTCTTGAAGACAGCCAGGAGTCTTGAAGACAACCAGGAGTCTTGAAGACTGCCAGGAGTCTTGAAGACAGCCAGGAGTCTTGAAGACAGCCAGGAGTCTTGAAGACAGCCAGGAGTCTTGAAGACAGCCAGGAGTCTTGAAGACAGCCAGGGGTCTTGAAGACAGCCAGGAGTCTTGAAGACAGCCAGGGGTCTTGAAGACAGCCAGGGGTCTTGAAGACAGCCATGGGTCTACTGGTAATCCCTTTTATGTACGTATAGTGAAAGGCTATGTGTGTTTTTGTTCAGTGTTTATGTTATGTTGTTCATTGTTCAGGTGTGTGTGTTCACGTGTTCTTGTTCATTGTTCACACTGTGTTCTTCATCTCCCAGAGGCGGCAAGTTTATCAGTGTGGGCGAGAAGATTCGACTTCCGGACGACGTTACTCTGGGATATATAATAGGTGAGTTACACCCTTGAGGGATGCCTTTTGGATCCCCACCAGTTAAACCTGCAGTACACCTTGTGTGTATGTGTGTGTGTGGTACATATATGCTTAACAATTCGCAAACAGGCGAAATTATTTACAAACATTGTCTCTACGTCCACAGTAGGACTCGAACCTGCAAACTCTGTATCAAAGTCCACAGTACTTTACCACGGAGCCAGACCCTGGAAAAGTATGGTCGCCTAGCCGGGTAACAGCGTCTGGCTACGGCTAACCTCCCATAATATATATAATGTTCCTTCTTTGAGTTTCTTGAAGTTTCTGCTTTCATTACCCAGCTGCTTCTTTCATTTCACAAGCGCTTTTCTCATTACCTGGCATCAATTTGTTACTGCCTGAGGTCCTGCTTTCACATCCTGGGTCTCTCTGTCTTCTCTCAGACTGTTATTGCTGCAATAACATTCTGCTTGATCAGGCCTTGATCCACCACGAGACTTGGTCACAGACCGGGCAGATGGGGCGTTGACCCCGAAACCCCTCTCCAGGTGTACTCCAGGTATAACCCACAATACCCTGGCTGCAACAATTTACAACAGACAATACCCTGGCTGCAACAATTTACAACTAACCCACAATACCCTGACTGCAACAATTTACAACCCACAATACCCTGGCTGCAACAATTCACAACTAACCCACAATACCCTGGCTGCAACAATTCACAACTAACCCACAATACCCTGACTGCAACAATTCACAACTAACCCACAATACCCTAGGTGCAACAGTTCACATAACCCACAATACCCTGGCTGCAACAATTTACAACCCACAATACCCTGGCTGCAACAATTCACAACTAACCCACAATACCCTGGCTTCAACAGTTCACATAACCCACAATACCCTGGCTGCAACAATTTACAACCCACAATACCCTGGCTGCAACAATTTACAACTAACCCACAATACCCTGACTGCAACAATTCACAACCCACAATACCCTGGCTGCAACAGTTCACAACTAACCCACAATACCCTGGCTGCAACAATTTACAACTAACCCACAGTACCCTGGCTGCAACAATTCACAACTAACCCACAATACCCTGGCTGCAACAGTTTACAACTAACCCACAATACCCTGGCTGCAACAATTTACAACTAACCCACAATACCCTGGCTGCAACAATTCACAACTAACCCACAATACTCTGGCTGCAACAATTTACAACTAACCCACAATACCCTGGCTGCAGCAATTCACAACTAACCCACAATACTCTGGCTGCAACAATTCACAACTAACCCACAATACCCTAGCTGCAACAGTTCACATAACCCACAATACCCTGGCTGCAACAATTTACAACCCACAATACCCTGGCTGCAACAATTCACAACTAACCCACAATACCCTGGCTGCAACAGTTTACAACTAACCCACTATACCCTGGCTGCAACAATTCACAACTAACCCACAATACTCTGGCTGCAACAATTTACAACTAACCCACAATACCCTGGCTGCAACAATTCACAAACTAACCCACAATACCCTGGCTGCAACAATTCACAACTAACCCACAATACCCTGGCTGCAACAATTTACAACTAACCCACAATACCCTGGCTGCAACAATTCACAACTAACCCACAATACCCTGGCTGCAACAATTCACAGCTAACCCACAATACCCTGGCTGCAACAATTCACAACTAACCCACAATACCCTGGCTGCAACAATTCACAACTAACCCACAATACCCTGGCTGCAACAATTTACAACTAACCCACAATACCCTGGCTGCAACAATTCACAACTAACCCACAATACCCTGGCTGCAACAATTTACAGCTAACCCACAATACCCTGGCTGCAACAATTCACAACTAACCCACAATACCCTGGCTGCAACAATTCACAACTAACCCACAATACCGGGCTGCAACAATTTACAGCTAACCCACAAAAACCCTGGCTGCAACAATTCACAACTAACCCACAATACCCTGGCTGCAACAATTCACAACTAACCCACAATACCCGGGCTGCAACAATTCACAACTAACCCACAATACCCTGGCTGCAACAATTCACAACCAACCCACAATACCCTGGCTGCAACAATTCACAACTAACCCACAATACTCTGGCTGCAACAATTTACAACTAACCCACAATACCCTGGCTGCAACAATTCACAACCAACCCACAATACCCTGGCTGCAACAATTCACAACTAACCCACAATACTCTGGCTGCAACAATTCACAACTAACCCACAATACTCTGGCTACAACAATTCACAACTAACCCACAATACTCTGGCTACAACAATTCACAACTAACCCACAATACTCTGGCTGCAACAATTTACAACTAACCCACAATACTCTGGCTGCAACAATTCACAACTAACCCACAATACTCTGGCTACAACAATTCAAAACCCTAACCCACAATACTCTGGCTGCAACAATTCACAACTAACCCACAATACTCTGGCTACAACAATTCACAACTAACCCACAATACTCTGGCTACAACAATTCACAACTAACCCACAATACTCTGGCTGCAACAATTCACAACTAACCCACAATACTCTGGCTACAACAATTCACAACTAACCCACAATACTCTGGCTGCAACAATTTACAACTAACCCACAATACTCTGGCTGCAACAATTCACAACTAACCCACAATACTCTGGCTACAACAATTCACAACTAACCCACAATACTCTGGCTGCAACAGTTTACAAGTAACCCACAATACTCTGGCTGCAACAGTTTACAAGTAACCCACAATACTCTGGCTGCAACAGTTTACAAGTAACCCACAATACTCTGGCTGCAACAGTTTACAAGTAACCCACAATACTCTGGCTACAACAATTCACAACTAACCCACAATACTCTGGCTGCAACAATTTACAACTAACCCACAATACTCTGGCTGCAACAATTTACAACTAACCCACAATACTCTGGCTACAACAATTCACAACTAACCCACAATACTTTGGCTGCAACAATTCACAACTAACCCACAATACCCTGGCTGCAACAATTCACAACTAACCCACAATACCCTGGCTGCAACAATTCACAACTAACCCACAATACCCTGGCTGCAACAATTCACAACTAACCCCCACAATACCCTGGCTGCAACAATTCACAACTAACCCACAATACCCTGGCTGCAACAATTTACAACTAACCCATAATACCCTGGCTGCAACAATTTACAACTAACCCACAATACCCTGGCTGCAACAATTTACAACTAACCCACAATACCCTGGCTGCAACAATTACAACTAACCCACAATACCCTGGCTGCAACAATTCACAACTAACCCACAATACCCTGGCTGCAACAATTCACAACTAACCCACAATACCCTGGCTGCAACAATTCACAACTAACCCACAATACCCTGGCTGCAACAATTTACAACTAACCCACAATACCCTGGCTGCAACAATTTACAACTAACCCACAATACCCTGGCTGCAACAATTTACAACTAACCCACAATACCCTGGCTGCAACAATTTACAACTAACCCCACAATACCCTGGCTGCAACAATTCACAAACTAACCCACAATACCCGGGCTGCAAACAATTCACAACTAACCCACAATACCCTGGCTGCAACAATTCACAACTAACCCACAATACCCTGGCTGCAACAATTTACAACTAACCCACAATACCCTGGCTGCAACAATTTACAACTAACCCACAATACCCTGGCTGCAACAATTTACAACTAACCCACAATACCCTGGCTGCAACAATTTACAACTAACCCACAATACTCTGGCTGCAACAATTTACAACTAACCCACAATACCCTGGCTGCAACAATTTACAACTAACCCACAATACTCTGGCTACAACAATTCACAACTAACCCACAATACCCTGGCTGCAACAATTTACAACTAACCCACAATACCCTGGCTGCAACAATTTACAACTAACCCACAATACCCTGGCTGCAACAATTTACAACTAACCCACAGTTTGGAAAGGACATTTTCCACAGATGTCCTGTGAAGCACTTACTGAAGTCTGGCTGTATTTCAGAGCAACTTACTGAAGTCTGGCTGTATTTCAGAGCACCTGCTGAGGAAGAAGCTGACGGTGGTGGAGGAGTTCCACTCACACCTGGAGCCCATGAGGTTCGTGAACACGGACACCCTGGCCAGGCAGGTACGTGCTCACGCCCACCCACTGCTGTGTACGTGGTCCACACTGTCTGGGATTAGGGGGACCCAGCTGATCAGTGGGGGAGTGTATCTGTGGGAGGGCCGCTCATCGGGAGGGTTGGGGTCCAGGAGCTGAGATTCCACCACAGCTGAGAGTGTATATATATATATATATATATATATATATATATATATATATATAAAATATATATATATATATTATATATATATATATATATATATGTATATATAATATATGTATGTATATATATATATGTATATATATGTTATATATATATATGTATATATATATATATATATATATATATAAATATATATATATATATATATATATATATATATATATATATGTAGTGTTAGAGTGTCAGCAGAAGTTTGTGGTTACAGGAAAGTGGGTGCAGGAGGGAAGAGGAGCGATTGGTGGAATGATGATGTAAAGAGAGTAGTAAGGGAGAAAAAGTTAGCATATGAGAAGTTTTTTACAAAGTAGAAGTGATGCAAGGAGGGAAGAGTATATGGAGAAAAAGAGAGAAGTTAAGAGAGTGGTGAAGCAATGTAAAAAGAGAGCAAATGAAGAGTGGGTGAGATGTTATCAACAAATTTCGTTGAAAATAAGAAAAAGTTTTGGAGTGAGATTAACAAGTTAAGAAAGCCTAGAGAACAAATGGATTTGTCAGTTAAAAATAGGAGAGGAGAGTTATTAAATGGAGAGTTAGAGGTATTGGGAAGATGGAAGGAATATTTTGAGGAATTGTTAAATGTTGATGAAGAATAGGGAAGCTTTGATTTCGTGTATAGGGCAAGGAGGAATAACATCTTGTAGGAGTGAGGAAGAGCCAGTTGTGAGTGTGGGGAAGTTTCGTGAGGCAGTAGGTAAAATGAAAGGGGGTAAGGCAGCCGGGATTGATGGGATAAAGTAGAAATGTTAAAAGCAGGTGGGGATATAGTTTTTGGAGTGGTTGGTGCAATTATTTAATAAATGTATGGAAGAGGGTAAGGTACCTAGGGATTGGCAGAGAGCATGCATAGTTCCTTTGTATAAAGGCAAAGGGGATAAAGAGAGTGCAAAAATTATAGGGGATAAGTCTGTTGAGTGTACCTGGTAAAGTGTATGGGAGAGTTATAATTGAAAGAAATTAAGAGTAAGACGGAGAATAGGATAGCAGATGAACAAGGAGGCTTTAGGAAAGGTAGGGGTGTGTGGACCAGGTTTACAGTGAAACATATAAGTGAACAGTATTTAGATAAGCAAAGAGGTCCTTGTGGCATTTATGGATTTGGAAAAGGCGTATGACAGGGTGGATAGGGGGGCAATGTGGCAGATGTTGCAAGTGTATGGTGTTTGGAGGTAGGTTACTGAAAGCAGTGAAGAGTTTTTTACGAGGATAGTGAGGGTCAAGTTAGAGTATGTAGGAAAGAAGGAAATTTTTTCCCAGTAAAAGTAGGCCTTAGACAAGGATGTGTGATGTCACCGTGGTTGTTTAATATATTTATAGATGGGTTGTAAGAGAAGTAAATGCGAGGGTCTTGGCAAGAGGCGTGGAGTTAAAAGATAAAGAATCACACACAAAGTGGGAGTTGTCACAGCTGCTCTTTGCTGATGACACGTGCTCTTGGGAGATTCTGAAGAGAAGTTGCAGAGATTGGTGGATGAATTTGGTAGGGTGTGCAAAAGAAGAAAATTAAAGGTGAATACAGGAAAGTAAGGTTATGAGGATAACAAAAAGATTAGGTGATGAAAGATTGAATATCAGATTGGAGGGAGAGAGTATGGAGGAGGTGAACGTATTCAGATATTTGGAGTGGACGTGTCAGCGGATGGTCTATGAAAGATGAGGTGAATCATAGAATTGATGAGGGAAAAAGAGTGAGTGGTGCACTTAGGAGTCTGTGGAGACAAAGAACTTTGTCCTTGGAGGGAAAGAGGGGAATGTATGAGAGTAATAGTTTTACCAACGCTCTTATATGGGTGTGAAGCGTGGGTGATGAATGTTGCAGCGAGGAGAAGGCTGGAGGCAGTGGAGAAAGTCATGTCTGAGGGCAATGTGTGGTGTGAATATAATGCAGAGAATTCGTAGTTTGGAAGTTAGGAGGAGGTGCGGGATTACCAAAACTGTTGTCCAGAGGGCTGAGGAAGGGTTGTTGAGGTGGTTCGGACATGTAGAGAGAATGGAGCGAAACAGAATGACTTCAAGATGTATCAGTCTGTAGTGGAAGGAAGGCGGGGTAGGGGTCGGCCTAGGAAGGGTTGGAGGGAGGGGTAAAGGAGGTTTTGTGTGCGAGGGGCTTGGACTTCCAGCAGGCATGCGTGAGCGTGTTTGATAGGAGTGAATGGAGACAAATGGTTTTTAATACTTGACGTGCTGTTGGAGTGTGAGCAAAGTAACATTTATGAAGGATTCAGGGAAACCGGCAGGCCGACTTGAGTCCTGGAGATGGAAGTACAGTGCCTGCACTCTGAAGGAGGGGTGTTAATGTTTGCAGTTTAAAAACTGTAGTGTAAAGCACCCTTCTGGCAAGACAGTGATGGAGTGAATGATGGTGAAAGTTTTTCTTTTTCGGGCCACCCTGCCTTGGTGGGAATCGGCCGGTGTGATAATAATAAAAAAAATATATATATATATATATATGTCGTGCCGAATACGTAAAACTGGTCAATTAGCAAGACTCATTTTAAAAATTTAAAGGGTTTTCTAAAATTTTCTCTTATACGTTTAAAGATATATTTTTTTCATTAATGTTGATGTAAAAATTTTAAATTTTTCACCAAAAGAATCTTAGAAAACTTACCTAACCTTATTATAACAAGAACAATTATTTTAGCCTAACCCAACTAAATATATTTTAGATTTGTTTACAATAATTTAATACTAAACAAACACAGTGAAATATATTTTTTTCGTTAGGTTCAGAATGATTTTGGCGAAATTAAATTGCATACACAAATTTTCACTTGTCCTATATGGCAAGATGAACGTTGCTGTTTAAGCCAGATAGCAAGTTCTGCCTATTCGGCACGACATATATATATATATATATATATATATATATATATATATATATATGTCGTGCCGAATATGTATAACTGGTCAATTAGCAAGAACTCATTTAAAATTAAGTCCTTTCTGAAATTTTCTTTTATACATTTAAAGATATATTTTTTTTCCATTAATGTTAACGTAAAAATTTTTAATTTTGTACCAAAAGAATCTTAGAAAACTTACCTAACCTTATTATAACAAAAGCAATTTATTTTAGCCTAACCCAACTAATATATTTTAGATTTGTTTACAATAATTTAATACTAAACAAACACAGTGAAATATATTTTTTTCGTTAGGTTCAGAATGATTTTGGCGAAATTATTGCATACACAAATTTTTCACTTGTCCTATATGGCAAGACGAGCGTTGCTATTTAAGCCAAGATCGCAAGTTCTGCCTATTCGGCACGACATATATATATAATATAAATAATATATATATATATATATATATATATATATATATAAACATAAGAGTCACAAGGGAGTGTAATAACTCCATACCAGGAATATAACCTCAGGCTATTAATATAACTACCATCTAGAAATATAACTACAGGCTAGGAATATAACTACAGCTAAGAATATAACTACAGACTAGGAATATAACTTCAGGTTAGGAATATAACTTCAGGCTGGGAATATAACTTCAGGCTAGGAATATAACTACAGGCTAGGAATATAACTACAGGCTAGGAATATAATTTCAGGCTAGGAATATAACTTCAGGCTGGGAATATAACTTCAGGCTAGGAATATAACTACAGGCTAGGAATATACCTACAGGCTAGGAATATAACTATAGCTAGGAATATAACTTCAGGCTAGGAATATAACTATAGCTCGGAATATAACTTCAGGCTAGGAATATAACTTCAGGCTAGGAATATCACTACAGGCTAGGAATGTAACTTCAGGCTAGGAATATAGCTTCAGGCTAGGAATATAACTATAGCTAGGAATATAACTTCAGGCTAGGAATATAACTTCAGGCTAGGAATATAACTACAGTTAGGAATATAACTTCAGGCTAGGAATATAACTTCAGGCTAGGAATATAACTACAGGCTAGGAATATAACTTCATGCTAGGAATATACCTACAGGCTAGGAATATAACTACAGGCTAGGAATATAACTTCAGGCTAGGAATATAACTTCAGGCTAGGAATATAACTACAGGCTAGGAATATAACTTCAGGCTAGGAATATGCATACAAGCTAGGAATATAACTTCAGGCTAGGAATATAACTACAGGCTAGGAATATAACTACAGATAGAAATATAACTACAGGCTGGGAATATAACTACAGATAGAAATATAACTACAGATAGAAATATAACTACAGGCTAGGAATATAACTACAGGCTAGGAGCATAACTTCAGGCTAGGAATGTAACTACAGCAAGGAATATAACTTCAGGCTAGGAATGTAACTACAGCAAGGAATATAACTTCAGGCTAGGAATGTAACTACAACAAGGAATATAACTTCAGGCTAGGAATGTAACTACAGCAAGGAATATAACTTCAGGTCACTTGTTCTATCTAGGCTGGAATATTGCTGCACACTAACAGCACCTTTCAAGGCAGGTGAAATTGCCGACCTAGAAAATGTACAGAGAACTTTCACGGCGCGCATAACGGAGATAAAACACCTCAATTATTGGGAGCGCTTGAGGTTCCTAAACCTGTATTCCCTGGAACGCAGGAGGGAGAGATACATGATTATATACACCTGGAAAATCCTAGAGGGACTAGTACCGAACTTGCACACGAAAATCACCCACTACGAAAGCAAAAGACTTGGCAGACGATGCACCATCCCCCCAATGAAAAGCAGGGGTGTCACTAGCACGTTAAGAGACCATACAATAAGTGTCAGGGGCCCGAGACTGTTCAACTGCCTCCCAGCACACATAAGGGGGATTACCAACAGACCCCTGGCAGTCTTCAAGCTGGCACTGGACAAGCACCTAAAGTCAGTTCCGGATCAGCCGGGCTGTGGCTCGTATGTTGGTTTGCGTGCAGCCAGCAGCAACAGCCTGGTTGATCAGGCTCTGATCCACCAGGAGGCCTGGTCTCAGACCGGGCCGCGGGGGCGTTGACCCCCGGAACTCTCTCCAGGTAAACTCCAGGTAAACAGCAAGGAATATAACTTCAGGCTAGGAATGTAACTACAGCAAGGAATATAACTTCAGGCTAGGAATGTAACTACAGCTAGGAATATAACTTCAGGCTAGGAATGTAACTACAGCAAGGAATATAACTTCAGGCTAGGAATGTAACTACAGCTAGGAGCATAACTACAGGCTAGGAATGTAACTACAGCTAGGAATATAACTTCAGGCTAGGAATGTATCTACAGCTTGGAATATAACTTCAGGCTAGGAATGTAACTACAGCAAGGCATATAACTTCAGGCTAGGAATGTAACTACAGCTAGGAGCATAACTTCAGGCTAGGAATGTAACTACAGCTAGGAGCATAACTTCAGGCTAGGAATGTAACTACAGCTAGGAGCATAACTACAGGCTAGGAATGTAACTACAGCTAGGAATATAACTTCAGGCTAGGAATGTAACTACAGCTTGGAATATAACTTCAGGCTAGGAATGTAACTACAGCAAGGCATATAACTTCAGGCTAGGAATGTAACTACAGCTAGGAGCATAACTTCAGGCTAGGAATGTAACTACAGCTAGGAGCATAACTACAGGCTAGGAATGTAACTACAGCTAGGAATATAACTTCAGGCTAGGAATGTAACTACAGCAAGGCATATAACTTCAGGCTAGGAATGTAACTACAGCAAGGCATATAACTTCAGGCTAGGAATGTAACTACAGCAAGGAATATAACTTCAGGCTAGGAATGTAACTACAGCTAGGAATATAACTTCAGGCTAGGAATGTAACTACAGCTAGGAATATAACTTAAAAAATATATAGCAAGTAACACTTTTTGGAAAGATTTATGAGAACGTTTCGCTCGGTCGTCGAGCGCATGACGTCAGGTTGGAGGTGCAGTTACGTCATGGTTCAGAGAAGGGGCGATACATCGCCTAGTGTTTCCTCAATACAGTACTGTTGTTGAGGTGTTGTAGTCCTACTGGTAATGTTGTATTGTCGTGGTTGTACGTTACCTTTGATATACTTTTGATGAGTTTCGAGAGTCTCACTGCTCTCGAAGCCCGGCCATGGGCCAGGTTCGTCTGGTGCTAGCCTTGTCAACCAGGCTATTGCTGCTGGAGGCCCGCTACCCCACATATCCATCACAACCTGGTTGATCTGGCACTTGACAAATATACTTGTCCAGTTTTCTCTTGAAGGCTTCTACACGTGTTCCAGCAGTGTTTCTGATATCTTCTGGTGAGATGTTGAATAGTCTGGGACCCCGGATGTTGATACAGTGTTCACTTATTGTCCCCACCGCACCCCTGCTCCTCACTGGGTTTATTTTACACTTCGTCCCATATCTCTCACACCAGTATGTTGTTATGGCAGTGTACAGATTTGGGACCAAGCCCTCGAGTACTTTCCAGGTATATATTATCATGTACCTCTCTCTCCTCCGTTCCAATGAGTACATGTTCAAGACTTGCAGGTGTTCCCAGTAGTTCAGGTGCTTTACTGGCTCAATGTGAGCCGTAAATGATCTCTGTATTTGTTCCAGCTCCGATATTTCTCCTGCCTTGAACGGTGCCGTCAACACTGAGCAACACTCTAAATGAGGGAGCACTAGCAATTTGAAGAATGTCACCATCACTATTATTTCCCTTGTATTGAAAGTTCTCAGTATCCACCCCATGATCCTCCTGGCTGTCGTGATCTTTGTCTTGTTATGGTCTTTAAAGAAAGGTCAGCTGACATAATTATTGTCCACTGGAAAACACTGCTTATGTCTTCCTGTAATTTTTCAGTGTCTTCTGTCGTCGTGACTTTCATACTTATTTTAGTGTCATCTGTAAATGATGAGAGAAAACTGTGGTTATGATGTGTTATGCTAGTGATTAATGTTGCTGTTGCTGTGTTGTCGTGCTAGTGAGTAATGTTGTTCTGTTGTCGTGCTAGTGATTAATGTTGCTGTGTTGTCGTGCTAGTGAGTAATGTTGTTGTGTTGTCGTGCTAGTGATTAATGTTGTTCTGTTGTCGTGCTAGTGTTTAAATGTTTTTGTTGCTGGTTGTCGTGCTAGTGAGTAATGTTGTTGTGTTGTCGTGCTAGGGGTTTAATGTTGTTGTGTTGTCGTGCTAGTGAGTAATGTTGTTGTGTTGTCGTGCTAGTGAGTAATGTTGTTGGTTTGTCGTGCTAGTGAGTAATGTTGTTGTGTTGTCGTGCTAGTGAGTAATGTTGTTGTTGTCGTGCTAGTGAGTAATGTTGTTGTGTTGTCGTGCTAGTGAGTAATGTTGTTGTGTTTTCGTGCAGGTGAGCTTCAGTTACTCCCGTACGGCAGTGAGATGAACGTTTTTCCTGTGGACGGTCTCGACACCAGACTCGACCCCACCAGGAATGTAGACTTCCACCACACCAGGTATGTGACTCCCCCCACACCAGGTATGTAGACTCCACCAAACCAGGTATGTAGACTCCACCACACCAGGTATGTAGACTCCCCCACACCAGTATGTAGACTTCCCACCAACCGGGTATGTAGACTCCACCACACCAGGTATGTAGACTCCCCCACACAGGTATGTAATTTCCACCACACCAGTATGTAGACTCCACCACACCGGGTTATGTAGACTTCACCAACCAGGTATGTAGACTCCCCACACCAGGTATGTAGACTCCACCACACCAGGTATTTTAGACTCCACCACACCAGGTATGTAGACTCCACCACACCAGGTATGTAGACCCCCACCACACCAGGTATGTAGCCCTCCACCACACCAGGTATGTAGACTCCACCCCCCCAACAGGTATGTAGACCCACCACACGGTATGTAGACTCCACCACACCAGGATGTAGACTCCACCACACCAGGTATGTGTCCCCAAACCACACCAGGTATGTAGACTCCACCACACCGGGTATGTAGACCCCTCCACCACACCAGGTATGTAGACTCCACCACACCCAGTATGTAGACTCCACCACACCAGGTATGTAGACTCCACCACCCCGGTATGTAGACTCCACCACACCAGGTATGTAACTCCACCACACCAGGTATGAAAGTCTCCACCACACCAGGTATGTAGACTTCACCCACCAGGTAGTAGACTCCACCACACCAGGTATGTAGACCCACCACCAGGTATGTAGACTCCACCACACCAGGTATGTAGACTCCAACCACACCAGTATGTAGACTCCACCACACCAGGTATGTAAAACTCCACCACCCCGGTATGTAGACTCCACACCACCAGGTATGTAAAACTCCACCACACCGGTATGTAGACTCCACCACACCAGGTATGTAGACTCCACCACACCAGGATGTGTCTCCACCACACCAGGTATGTAGACTCCACCACACCAGGTAGTAGACCCACCACACCAGGTATGTAGACTCCACCACACCAGGTATGTAGACTCCACCACACCAGGTATGTAGTCTCCACCACACCAGGTATGTAGACTCCACCACACCAGGTATGTAGACTCCACCACACCAAGTATGTAGTCTCCTCACACGATTAGTAACTCCACCACACCAAGTATGTAGACTCCACCACACCGGGTATGTAGACTCCAACACACCAGGTATGTAGACTCCACCACACCGGTTGTAACTCCACCACACCAGGTATGTAGTCTCCACCACCCAGGTATGTAGACTCCACCACACCAGGTATGTAGTCCCACCACCCCAGGATGTAGACTCCAACACACCAGGTATGTAGACTCCACCACACCAGGTATGTAGACTCCACCACACCAGGTATGTAGACTCCACCACACCAGGTATGTAGACTCCACCACACCAGGTATGTAGACTCCCCCAAACACCAGTATGTATCTCCACCACACCAGGTATGTAGACTCCACCACACCAGGTATGTAGACTCCACCACACCGGGTTTATGTAGTCTCCACCACACAGGTATGTAGACTCCACCACACCAGGTAGTAGTCTCCACCACACCAGGTATGTAGTCTCCACCACACCAGGTATGTAGACTCCACCACACCCAGGTATGTAGACTCCACCACACCAGGTATGTAGTCTCCCACCCACAGGTATGTAGACTCCCCCAAAACCAGGTATGTAGTCTCCACCACACCAGGTATTGTAGACTCCACCCCCACCCAGGTATGTAGCCCTCCACCACACCAGGTATGAAAGACCCCACCACACCAGGTATGTAGTCTCCACCACACCAGGTATGTAGACTCCACCACACCAGGTATGTAGACTCCACACCCAGGTAGGTAGACTCCACCCACCAGGTATGAACTTCACCACACCAGGTATGTAGACTCCACCACACCAGGTATGTAGACTCCACCACACCGGGTATGTAGACTCCACCACACCAGGTAGTAGACCCCACCACACCAGGTATGTAGACTCCACCACCCCAGGTATGTAGACTCCACCACACCAGGTATGTAGACTCCACCACACAGTATGTAACCCACCACACCGGGGATGTGAACTCCACCACACCAGTAGTAGACTCCACCACACCAGGTATGTAGACTCCACCACACCAGGTATGTAGACTCCACCACACCAGGTATGTAGACTCCACCACACCAGGTATGTAGACCCACCACACCCAGGTATGTAGACTCCACCACACCGGGTATGTGAACTCCACCACACCAGGTATGTAGACTCCACCACACCAGTATGTAGCCCTCCACCACACCAGGTATGTAGACTCCACCACACCAGGTATGTAGACTCCACCACACCAAGTATGTAGTCTCCTCACACGAGGTATGTAGACTCCACCACACGAGGTACGTAGACTCCACCACACCAGGTATGTAGACTCCACCACACGAGGTACGTAGACTCCACCACACGAGGTATGTAGACTCCACCACACCAGGTATGTAGACTCCACCACACCAGGTATGTAGACTCCACCACACCAGGTATGTAGACTCCAACACACCAGGTATGTAGACTCCAACACACCAGGTATGTAGACCCCAAACCAACCAGGTATGAGACTCCACCACACCGGTATGTAGTCTCCACCACACGAGGTATGTAGACTCCACCACACCAGGTATGTAGTCTCCAACCACACAGGTACTAGACTCCACCAACCCCGGGTATGTAGACTCCCCACACCAGGTATGTAGACTCCACCACACCAAGTAGTAGACTCCACCACACGAGGTATGTAACCCCACCACACCAGGTATGTAACCCCAACACAGCGGTACGTAGACTCCCCACACGGGTATGTAGACTCCACCACACAGGTATTAGACTCCCCCACACGATTACGTAGTCTCCACCACACCAGTACGTAACTCACACACCGGTACGTAGACCCCACCACACGAGGTACGTACACTCCACCAACACCAGGTACGTAGACTCACCACACCAGGTACATAGACTCCACCACATCAGGTATGTAGACTCCACCACACCGGTATGAGTCCCCACCACACCCAGGTATGTAGACTCCCCCACACCAGGTACGTAGACCCACCACACGAGGTACATAGACTCCACCACACCAGGTACGTAGACTCCCCACACCAGGTAGTAGTCTCCACCAAAACGAGGTACGTAGACTCCACCACCCCAGGTATGTAGACTCCACCACACCAGGTACGTAGACTCCACCACAACCAGGTACGTAGACTCCCCCACACCAGGTACTTTAGACTCCACCACACGAGGTACGTAGACTCCACCACACCAGGTACGTAGACTCCACCACACCATGTACGTTGACTCCACCACACCAGGTACGTTGACTCCACCACACCAGGTACGTAGTCTCCACCACACCATGTACGTAGACTCCACCACACCAGGTACGTAGACTCCACCACACCAGGTACGTAGACTCCACCACACCAGGTATGTAGACTCCACCACACCAGGTACGTAGACTCCACCACACGAGGTACGTAGACTCCACCACACCAGGTACGTAGACTCCACCACACCAGGTACGTAGACTCCACCACACCAGGTACGTAGACTCCACCACACCAGGTATGTAGACTCCACCACACCAGGTACGTAGCCCTCCACCACACCAGTACGTAGTCCCACCACACCATGTACGTTGACTCCACCACACCAGGTACGATTTCTCCACCACACAGGTACGTAGACTCCACCACACCAGGTACGTATCTCCACCACCCCATGTACGTTGACTCCACCACACCGGGTACGTAGCCCTCCCCCACACCAGGTACGTAGACTCCACCACAACCGGGTACGTAGTCTCCACCACACCATGTACTTTGACTCCACCACAACCAGGTACTTGACTCCACCACACCAGGTACGTAGTCTCCCACCACACCATGTACGTAGACTCCACCAAACCACCAGGTACGTAGTCTCCACCACACCCAGGTATGTATCCTCCACCAAAACCAGGTATGTAGTCTCCACCACACCATGTAACGTAGACCCCAAACCACACCAGGTACGTTGACTCCACCCACAACCAGGTACGAGTCTCCACCACACCATGTACGTAGACCCACCACACCAGGTACGTAAGACTCCACCACACCAGGTATGTAGTCTCCACCACACCAGGTACGTAGACTCCACCACACCCAGGTACGTAGTCTCCACCAAAACCAGGTATGAAAGTCCCCAAACACACCAGGTACGTATCTCCACCACACCAAAGGTATGTATCTCCACCACACCAGGTACGTAGATTTCCACCAAAACCAGGTATGTAGTCTCCACCACACCAGGTTTTGTAGTCCTCCACACACCAGGTACGTAGTCTCCACCACACCAGGTATGTAGTCTCCACCACACCAGGTACGTAGTCTCCACCACACCAGGTACGTAGACTCCACCACACCAGGTACGTAGTCTCCACCACACCAGGTAACCATGGAGGGAGGTCATCCACAATCAAGTGAACATGTTTTCAACAAGTGTTATCCACCAGCTTCAGCAGACAGGTTTTCCACCATTCATCCTTACAATTTCTATGTCGTAACTCGCAGTTATTATTAAATACATTAGTTATAACTGATTTAGTCTATGTCCAAAACATACAAAATAAATATTTACAGGACTCTGAAATTCTGACTGGTATTTCGTTCTTTCACAGATTGTTGTCCGTGCACTGTCTGCTCTTCCCGAACTTCAGCTACTGTGCGACATAACACAGTCTGTTCCTGTTGCAAGTGCTGTGGCTTGTCAACTAACATGTATTGCTGTGATATATTCTGTATGAGAAAGAATTAGCAAGTTGGTATATATAAATATATATATTATATATATATGTATATTGTGTGTGTGTGTTTGTGTGTGTGTGGCTGTGGGATTATGACTGACACCGCAGGAGTGAGTGAGAGAATGTGAGGAAACTCATGTAATACTCTGTAAGTCCCGCCCATTTTCACAAGAATATCATATCATTCACGTGAAAGGCAAGGGTCGCAAAGCGTTGGGTTCAGTCAGCAGCTGGTGCCTCCACGAAGTAACAAGATCTGGTCCAGTCAGCAGCTGGTGCCTCCACGAAGTACAGGATCTGGTCCCGTCAGCAGTGGTGCCTCCACGAATACAGGATCTGGTCCAGTTAGCAGCTGGTGCCTCCCCGAATACAGGATCTGGTCCAGTCAGCACTGGTGCCTCCACGAAGTACAGGATCTGGTCCAGTCAGCAGCTGGTGCCTCCACGAAATACAAGATCTGGGCCAGTCCCGCAGCTGGTTTCCTCCACGAAGTACGGATCTGGTCCAGTCAGCAGCTGGTGCCTCCACGAATTACAGGATCTAGTCCAGTCAGCAGCTGGTGCCTCCACGAAGTACAAGATCTGGTCCAGTCAGCAGCTGGTGCCTCCACGAAGTACAGGATCTGGTCCAGTCAGCAGCTGGTGCCTCCACGAAGTACAGGATCTGTTCCAGTTAGCAGCCGGTGCCTTCACGAAGTACAGGATCTGGTCCAGTTACCAGCTGGTGCCTCCATGAAGTGCAGGATCTGGTCCAGTTAGCAGCTGGGGCCCCTTCACGAAGTACAGGGTCTGGTCCAGTTAGCAGCTGGTGCCTCCACGAAGTGCAGGATCTGGTCCATCAGCAGCTGGTGCCTCCACGAAGTACAGGAAACTGGTCCAGTCAGCGCTGGTGCCTTCACGAAGTGCAGGATCTGGTCCAGGGCAGCAGCTGGTGCCTCACGAGTGCAGGATCTGGTTCCAGTCAGCAGCTGGTGCCTCCACGAATGGCAGGATCTGGTTCAGTCAGCAGCTGGTGCCTCCACGAAGTACAAGATCTGGTCCAGTCCCGCAGCTGGTGCCTTTACGAAGTGCAGGATCTGGTCCAGTTAGCAGCTGGTGCCTCCACGAAGTAAAAGGATCTGGCTTGGAGAGGGTCTCACCACCCATGGTGGGGCGGTGACCCAGGCTGGACTCTGTGGTCGGAGAAGCGGCCCCTTGGTCACCTCAAGAACTTCTTACACACAGTTATTACCTTCACGATAAGTGAAAAATCTTTTACACACTTACACATTTAAAGCAGTGTACTTTACTGGAAGATCCCCATCCTTCCCCCTCGTTACTTCCTGAGGAAGGTAAGGAGAGGCGAACGAGGAATAAGGCAGACGAGTCTCCTGGGCGATATCCTTCACGCGTAAAATCGTCCCTCAGTGATCTTACGATTTTTATTGTATATTTTTTTAAATGCTAGCTCAAATGTCCCCTACAAATGTATCATGGAACCATAAGATCAAATGCCCAGGTGATGGTTTCTAACAGCAAGATTTACACCTTTAAATTATTGTATTGGGGGTTACAATGGAAAATTCTTGTTTATATATATATATTTTTTTTTTTTTGCGACTGACTCACAGTTGTTTCGACTCCTGCCTAGACTATTATCAAGTCGTGACTGGTGATTGCTCTGGGAAGGACGGAAGTACTGTTAAATGTTTTAAAATTGTTCCACTCCTGGTATTGTGGTTTAGTTGTGAATTGTTTCACCCACGGTATTGTAGCATTTTTTCATCCTTCACACGTAACATGGTGTATGTAGTGTTAGAGACATCACCTCACGATTTCAAAACTCATTTTTAGCTGTTAATGACGATTTCGTCACCTTAAGAAAAGACAGTTGTGTGTTCCCAATGACTGTGGACAATCTCTTTTAAGCTAGTCAGATGTATTTTTTTTCTTTATAAATAGATGCCTAGAGCTGTATTATGTTAGATGAGACCAGAAACATATATATTTAGGGTTCTGAGCCTCTTTCATATATAGGTCTGAGACCGTCTTATAAAAACATCTCTGGGGTCTGATACAGACATCTCTAGGGTCCCAGACCGATTTATACAGACATCTCTGGGGAAGTCTGAGAAGAACCTACATACGTGACCATATGTGTTTTTCTTACTAATATACACTCTCCAGAAATGACGCTCACCTATGTTGTACCTGTGTCAGGTTTCCAGTGTTAGAAGCCAGGCTTCCTTGCTGACAGCCTGGCTAACCAGACTTCCTTGCTGACAGCCTGGCTAACCAGACTTCCTTGCTGACAGCCTGGCTAACCAGACTTCCTTGCTGACAGCCTGGCTAACCAGACTTCCTTGCTGACAGCCTGGCTAACCAGACTTCCTTGCTGACAGCCTGGCTAACCAGACTTCCTTGCTGACAGCCTGATTAACCAGGCTTTCTTGCAGACTGCCTGGGCAACCAGGCTTCCTTATTGACACCTTGGCAACCAGGCTTTCTTGCTGACAGCGTGGTTTACCAGACTGTCAGCACAGCACGCATACAACACCGAAAATTTGATGGAACAAGACACAGGTACAACACCTATGTGTCTTTATTGATGTCATGTGCAACATCTGGGTGTCTTTATTGATGTATGCAACACCTGGGTGTTTTTATATTGATGTCATATGCAACACCTGGGTGTCTATTGATGTATGCAACACCTGAGTGTTTTTATTGTTGTATGCAACACCTGGGTGTCTTTATTGATGTCATGTGCAACACCTGGGTGTCTTTATTGATGTCATGTGCAACACCCATGTATGGTTAATGTCGTCAGTACAGACACAAGTGGCTCAAAGAAACAGGTGTGGTGAAGAAAGTGTTGCTCAGGACCCAGTGTTTCTGTTTTGTTTGTAAATACCTGTGTACACACCTGTCGTTCACACGCTTACACTGCACACACCTCCTACAATCCCCACACACCTGCCTCAACACCCGCACAAATGCTGCAATACTCAAACACATGCTACAACACCCACAGGCATGTCACAACACCCAGACACCTGCCACAACACCCACACCTGCTACAACACCCACACACCTGCCTCAACACCCACACACCCGCCACAACACCCACACACCCGCCACAACACCCACACACCCGCCACAACACTCACACACCCGCCACAACACCCACACACCCGCCACAACACTAACGCACCCCACACAACACCCACACACCTATTACAACACCCAAACACCTGCTACAACACCAACACACCAGTTACAACACCCACACACCTGCCACAACACCCACACACCTGGTACAACACCCCACACACCTGGTACAGCACCCACACACCTACCACAACACCCACACACTCGCCACAACACCCACACCCGCCACAACACCCACACACCCGCCCACAACACCCACACACCCGCCACAACACCCACACACCCGCCACAACACCCACACACCTGCCACAACATCCACACACCCACCTGCCACACACCCACACCTACCACAACACCCACACACTCGCCACAACACCCACACACCCACCACAACACCCACACACCTGCCACAACACCCACACACCTGCCACAACACCCACACCTGCCACAACACCACACACCTGCCACAACCAACCCACACCTATCGCAACACCCACACACTCGCCACAAACACTCACACTCGCCACAACACCCACACACTCACCACAACACCCACACACTCGCCAACAACACCCACACACCCGCCACAACACCCACAACCTGTCACAAACACTCACACACCCTCCACAACACCCACACACTTGCCACAATATCTGCCACAACACCCAAACATCCGCCACAACACCTACATACCTACCACAACACCTACTACACACCTGGCACAACACTGCTTCAACACCCGCCACAACACCTGCTACACACTTGCCACAACTGCTCACACACTTGCCACAACACACACCTGGCACAACTCACACCTGCCACAACACCTGCTACACACCTTCCACAACACCTGCACAACACACACCTGCCACAACACCTGCTGCACAATTGCTACACACCTGCCACAACAACTGCTACACACCTGCCACGACTGCTACACACATGCCACAACACCTGCACAACTACTCACCTGCCACAACTACGCACTGCCACAACTGCTACACACCTGCCACAACTACACACCTGCCACAACACCTGCTACACAACTGCCACAACACCTGCCACAACACCTGCTATACACCTCTAAACCTGCTACACACCTGCCACAACACCTGTTACACACTGCCACAACACCTGTTACACACCTGCCACAACACCTACACACCTGCCACAACACCTGTTACACATCTGCCACAACACCTGCTACACAACTGCCACAACACCTGCTACACACCACAACACCTGCCACAACACCTACACACCTGCCATAACTGCTACACACCTGCCACAACACCTGCTACACACCTGCCACAACACACACTTGCCACAACACTGTTACACACCTGCCACAACAGTTGCTACACACTTGCCACAACACCTACACACCTGCTACACATCTGCCACAACACCTGCTACACACCTGCAACAACAAGTGCTACACATCTGCCACAACACCTGCTACACACCTGCAACAACAAATGCTACACATCTGCCACAACACCTGCTACACACCTGCCACAACACACACTTGCCACAACACCTGCCACACAAGTGCTACACACCTACCACAACACCTGCCACAACACCTGCACACCTGCTACAGCATCTGCTACAACACCTGCTACACACCTACCACAAACACCTGTACACACCTGCCACAACACCTGCGACAGCACCTGCTACACACCTGCCACAACTGCTGCACACCTGCCACAACACACACTTGCCACAACACCTGCCACAAGTGCTACACACCTGCCACAACACCTGCTACAACATCTGCCACAACACCTGCCGTAACACCTGCTACAACACCTACACACCTACCACAACTACCACAACACCTGCTAAACACCTACCACAACACCTACCACAACGCCTGCTACACACATACCACAACACTGCTACACACCTGCCACAACACACACTTGCCACAACACCTGCCACAAGTGCTACACACCTGCCACAACACCTGCTACAACACGTGCTACACACCTGACACAACACCTACCACAACACCTGCCACAACACCTACCACAACACCTGCTACACACCTGCCACAACACACACTTGCCACAACACCTGCCACAAGTGCTACACACCTGCCACAACACCTGCTACAACACGTGCTACACACCTGCCACAACACCTGCTATACACCTGCTACACACCTGCCACAACATCTGCTACACACCTGCCACAACTGCTGCACACCTGCCACAACACACACTTGCCACAACACCTGCCACAAGTGCTACACACCTACCACAACACCTGCTACACACCTGCCACAACACACACTTGCCACAACACCTGCCACAAGTGCTACACACCTGCTACAACACGTGCTACACACCTGCCACAACACCTACCACAACACCTGCCACAACACCTGCCACAACACCTGCTACACACCTGTGATAATTACTGTGCCTTACGTCTTAAAATTGTTCAATTTTTGCCTATTTTTTTATTAATAATATTTTTTTTAATTCCCTGAACTTAAGAATTTCTTTATAATAATCGTGAATTATCCGGAAAATTATAATTATTATAATTACTATTGTAAATTACTTCAGATGATGATTTATATCATTTATAACAATTTTGTAAAAACTTGTAAATAAAATTCTACGAAATTCTGTTCTTTTATTTTTTTCATTCAATGATGATAATAAAAATAATAATTATAATGTTAATATTAAGAAAATAAATAACATGAATAATAATATTAATGATTAAGAAAAATGCGATTAATGATAATGAAAATAAAATGAAAAAAAAAATATATTAAAAATATTAATAATTATTATTATAATAATAATTAGTTTATTATGTTACTAATAACTACAATAAAAATATTTAAATAATTATGAAATTATATTAAAAAATAATTATTTAAAAAATATTTTAAAATTATTATTACTTATATTTATTATTAATGAAAAATAATTATAAATTTTATAATAATAAAAAATAATAATAATGACCAGTATACTGACTCAGGGACCAGTATACTGACTCAGGGACCAGTATACTGACTCAGGGACCAGTATACTGACTCAGGGACCAGTATACTGACTCAGGGACCAGTATACTGACTCAGGGACCAGTATACTGACTCAGGGACCAGTATACTGACTCAGGGACCAGTATACCGACTCAGGGACCAGTATACTGACTCAGGGACCAGTATACTGACTCAGGGACCAGTATACTGACTCAGGGACCAGTATACTGACTCAGGGACCAGAATACTGACTCAGGGGCCAGTATACTGACTCAGGGACCAGTATACTGACTCAGGGACCAGTATACTGACTCAGGGACCAGTATACTGACTCAGGGACCAGTATACTGACTCAGGGGCCAATATACTGACTCAGGGGCCAGTATACTGACTCAGGGACCAGTATACTGACTCAGGGACCAGTATACTGACTCAGGGACCAGTATACTGACTCAGGGACCAGTATACTGACTCAGGGACCAGAATACTGACTCAGGGGCCAGTATACTGACTCAGGGACCAGTATACTGACTCAGGGACCAGTATACTGACTCAGGGACCAGTATACTGACTCAGGGACCAGTATACTGACTCAGGGGCCAATATACTGACTCAGGGGCCAGTATACTGACTCAGGGACCAGTATACTGACTCAGGGACCAGTATACTGACTCAGGGACCAGTATACTGACTCAGGGACCAGTATACTGACTCAGGGACCAGTATACTGACTCAGGACCAGTATACTGACTCAGGGACCAGTATACTGACTCAGGGACCAGTATACCGACTCAGGGACCAGTATACTGACTCAGGGACCAGTATACTGACTCAGGGACCAGTATACTGACTCAGGGACCAGTATACTGACTCAGGGACCAGAATACTGACTCAGGGACCAGAATACTGACTCAGGGGCCAGTATACTGACTCAGGGACCAGTATACTCACTCAGGGGCCAGTATACCGACTCAGGGGCCAGCATACTGACTCAGGGACCAGTACACTGACTCAGGGACCAGTATACTGAGTCAGGGACCAGTATACTGACTCAGGGACCAGTATACTGACTCAGGGACCAGTATACTGACTCAGGGACCAGTATACTGACTCAGGGACCAGTATACTGACTCAGGGGCCAGTATACTGACACAGGGACCAGTATACTCACTCAGGGGCCAGTATACCGACTCAGGGGCCAGTATACTCACTCAGGGAGCAGTATACTGACTCAGGGACCAGTATACTGACTCAGGGACCAGTATACTGACTCAGGGACCAGTATACTGACTCAGGGACCAGTATACTGACTCAGGGACCAGTATACTGACTCAGGGACCAGTATACTGACTCAGGGACCAGTATACTGACTCAGGGACCAGTATACTGACTCAGGGGCCAGTATACTGACTCAGGGACCAGTATACTCACTCAGGGGCCAGTATACCGACTCAGGGGCCAGTATACTGACTCAGGGACCAGTATACTGACTCAGGGACCAGTATACTGACTCAGGGGCCGGTATACTGACTCAGGGACCAGTATACTGACTCAGGGACCAGTATACTGACTCAGGGAACAGTATACTGACTCAGGGACCAGTATACTGACTCAGGGACCAGTATACTGACTCAGGGACCAGTATACTGACTCAGGGACCAGTATACTGACTCAGGGGCCAGTATACTGACTCAGGGACCAGTATACTCACTCAGGGGCCAGTATACCGACTCAGGGGCCAGTATACTGACTCAGGGACCAGTATACTGACTCAGGGACCAGTATACTGACTCAGAGACCAGTATACTGACTCAGGGACCAGTATACTGACTCAGGGACCAGTATACTGACTCAGGGACCAGTATACTGACTCAGGGACCAGTATACTGACTCAGGGACCAGCATACTGACTCAGGGACCAGTATACTGACTCAGGGACCAGTATACTGACTCAGGACCAGTATACTGACTCAGGGACCAGTATACTGACTCAGGGGCCAGTATACTGACTCAGGGACCAGTATACTCACTCAGGGGCCAGTATACCGACTCAGGGGCCAGTATACTGACTCAGGGACCAGTATACTGACTCAGGGACCAGTATACTGACTCAGGGGCCAGTATACTGACTCAGGGACCAGTATACTGACTCAGGGACCAGTATACTGACTCAGGGACCAGTATACTGACTCAGGGACCAGTATACTGACTCAGGGACCAGTATACTGACTCAGGGAACAGTATACTGGCTCAGGGACCAGTATACTGACTCAGGGACCAGTATACTGACTCAGGGGCCAGTATACTGACTCACGGAACTGTATGCTGACTCAGGGGCCAGTATACTGACTCAGGGACCAGTATACTGACTCAGGGACCAGTATACTGACTCAGGGACCAGTATACTGACCCAGCGACCAGTATACTGACTCAGGGACCAGTATACTGACTCAGGGACCAGTATACTGACCCAGGGACCAGTATACTGACTCAGGGACCAGTATACTGACTCAGGGAACAGAATACTGACTCAGGGAACAGTATACTGACTCAGGGAACAGTATACTGACTCAGGGAACAGTATACTGACTCAGGGGGCAGTATACTGACTCAGGGAACAGTATACTGACTCAGGGGCAAGTATACTGACTCAGGGAACAGTATACTGACTCAGGGAACAGTATACTGACTCAGGGGCCAGTATACTGACTCAGGGAACAGTATACTGACTCAGGAGCCAGTATACTGACTCAGGGAACAGTATACTGACTCAGGGAACAGTATACTGACTCAGGGACCAGTATACTGACTCTGGGGCCAGTATACTGACTCAGGGACCAGTATACTGACTCAGGGGCCAGTATACTGACTCAGGGGCCAGTATACTGACTCAGGGACCAGTATACTGACTCAGGGACCAGTATACTGACTCAAGGACCAGTATACTGACTCAGGGACCAGTATACTGACTCAGGGACCAGTATACTGACTCAGGGACCAGTATACTGACTCAGGGGCCAGTATACTGACTCAGGGACCAGTATACTGACTCAGGGGCCAATATACTGACTCAGGGGCCAGTATACTGACTCAGGGACCAGTATACTGACTCAGGGACCAGTATACTGACTCAGGGACCAGTATACTGACTCAGGGACCAGTATACTGACTCAGGGGCCAGTATACTGACTCAGGGGCCAGTATACTGACTCAGGGACCAGTATACTGACTCAGGGACCAGTATACTGACTCAAGGACCAGTATACTGACTCAGGGACCAGTATACTGACTCAGGGACCAGTATACTGACTCAGGGACCAGTTACTGACTCAGGGGCCAGTCTACTGACTCAGGGACCAGTATACTGACTCAGGGGCCAGTATACTGACTCATGGGACCAGTATACTGACTCAAGGACCAGTATACTGACTCAGGGACCAGTATACTGACTCAGGGACCAGTTATACTGACTCAGGGATCAGTATACTGACTCAGGGGCCAGTATACTGACTCAGGGGCCAGAATACTGACTCAGGGACCAGTATACTGACTCAGGGACCAGTATACTGACTTAGGGACCAGTATACTGACTCAGGGGCCAGTATACTGAGTCAGGGACCAGTATACTGACTCAGGGGCCAGTATACTGACTCAGGGAACAGTATACTGACTCAGGGACCAGCATACTGACTCAGGGACCATTATACTGACTCAGGGACCAGTATACTGACTCAGGGACCAGTATACTGACTCAGGGACCAGTATACTGACTCACGGACCAGTATACTGACTCACGGACCAGTATACTGACTTAGGGGCCAGTATACTGACTCAGGGACCAGTATACTGACTCAGGGACCAGTATACTGACTCAGGGACCAGTATACTGACTCAGGGACCAGTATATTGACTCAGGGACCAGTATACTGACTTAGGGGCCAGTATACTGACTCAGGTACCAGTATATTGACTCAGGGACCAGTATACTGACTCAGGGACCAGTATATTGACTCAGGGACCAGTATACTGACTCAGGGGCCAGCATACTGACTCAGGGACCAGTATACTGACTCAGGGACCAGTATACTGACTCTGGGACCAGTATACTGACTCAGAAAACAGTATACTGATTCAGGGACCAGTATACTGACTCAGGGACCAGTATACTGACTCAGGGACCAGTATACTGACTCAGGGACCAGTATACTGACTCAGGGGCCAGTATACTGACTCAAGGACCAGTATACTGACTCACGGGTCAGTATACTGCCTCAGGGGCCAGTATACTGATTCTGGGGCCAGTATACTGACTCACGGGCCAGTATACTGACTCAGGGAACAGTATACTGACTCAGGGAACAGTATACTGACTCAGGAGCTCTGGTGGCCTGGTGGTTAACGCTCTGGCTTCACACGGTGAGGGCCTGGGTTCGATTCCCAGCCAGAGTAGAAACATTGGACGTGTTTCTTTCCACCTGTTGTCTATGTTCCCCATCAGTAAAATGGGTACCTGGGTGTTAGTCGACTGGTGTGGGTCGCATCCTGGGACACTGACCTAAGGAGGCCTCGTCACAGACCGGGCCGCGGGGGCGTTGACCCCCGGAACTCTCTCCAGATAAACTCC